GAAATATTAAGTAAAGTTTTAATGGTTTTTGTTTATTTCTTATTAAGTTGAGTTGTATTTATAATGACACTGCGGATTTATAAATAAAAATTCAAACCTTCTCTCACAAACAACCATGTAATATCACAACATTGAAAAGACTTTAGACCAGCGTTCAGCAAACTTTTTACTTCACGGCCTATTTACGATTCCAGGCACCAAGCCGCGGCCCAGCAGGCCAGCCGCGCCAGGGACCAACATACCAAATCCTGGAAAGACCTTTTGATCATGAAGCCTCATGTAGGCCTATATACAATATTTTGACATCATTATCTGTTCTCTCAGTGATAAAATTTCATTGTATACAAATTAAATATTATTTTATTAAATAAATAATACCGTACATTTTTCCCCCACCCCGCATTTGTTTATTGTTTTTTTTTCTACCATGTTTCAACCAAACACGGTTCAGCCACACACGTCATAGCTTTCTCCTTCTTCCAAAAACTTTTACGCACACTCTGTTACTCCACAACTTTGAAAGACTTCCTTACTATACAGGTATTATGTTTAGCAATAAAGTATCCACATGGGCATTCGGTTATCAACAAATGTGTGGTGCTGTTTACTGTAATGATCTTTCTAGGACAAGTCTTATTTTTATTTTTATCTTTAGCTCATGACTCATCCCATCATTCCTCCATACCGGATTTACTCGATCTCACCATAGAGAAAATATTTATTTATTATTTTATTTTCTCTATGATCTCACAGGGTTAATACTAGACGGTAACATACAGTCTAGCTCCCGAGGGGGCATATACACAAAAACCGCTTATAACTCAAATAGCACCCATCATCTGGAACTTTAGCAGCGTGTGCAAGCGACGCATTCGCTGTAACAATAAAGTGGCTATTTTCTCCATGATGAAACGTCTCTTTCTTTCTTTTTTTTTTTCAATTTCCAGACGGCTTCGCGGCCGTCCAAAAATGTTTCGCGGCCCAAATTTGGCCGCGGACCATAGTTTGCGGAACGTCGCTTTAGACCTAAAAATACTGTAGACGCAGAATTGTGCAATATATATTTATGACTTTAGTGCCAAGGGCATTGAAACTAAACCTCATACTGTAGTAAATTTTATTGTATTATTTTATTTTAACTTAAGTATTCTTTAGGGATATATTTTTTTTTATCTCAAAAAAACCAGGCAATATGAATATCACTATGACGTATGGTACATGTACTGGACTCCCAAAAAGGAACTGATGATTACGGCACGGCACCTAATATGACATCAAGACCACCAAGATTTGATTGTTTATGATGATTTATATCTCTGAAGCATAACTAATCCACGGGAAGCGTGTCCCTGACCTGACCATGGATGCAGCGGTTAATTAGAGCATTGTCTATACTAATAAATAATTATGCCTACAGTACTGTTTACGTCTGGTGCAACACACATGAGATGGGAATGGGTATGACAATGACCCATCCCATCGGAAAATTACCAGAGATTTTCTAGACCCCAGATCCATAAGATCTGGCAGAACATAACTGACTCCTCTTCGAAAATTAAGGAACAATGTTATAATTATAAAATCATACTCTGCCTTAGGTCAATGACTCAGTAAACTAATTTCGACGTGAGTTTACAGTATAGGCTATTAAAAACAATTTTAAGCAATATAAAATCTGTTTCTCTTTGTAAAATCAAGGAATTGAAATCAAGGAATTTACACGATATACTCAAATGCGGCTAAATTATTTAGGCCTAACAGAACCCCTGTTAAGTGGAAAAAAATGTGTCCCCCATATCTTATAGGGTGTCTACGGAATAGGGATTGGCTGTAGTTTTAAAAACATATACTTTCATTCATTTCATGACCAAAAAAGGTATCCTTAAGGTAAGTGTCCCGGTGATTGGAGTGTCATACAGGAATCTATAGGCTGGCCAAAAACTTGGTGTAGGCCTACTTTGTTTTGTTTTTTGTTTTTTGTTTTCGTTTAATTTTTTTACCGTGTTATTTTTTGCTTATCAATTATTTATATGCCTTAATTTTTCTGTTTTCAATTAATTTAGTCTTTAATTTCATTTCAAATAAATGGTTTTAACTATCTTTCAAAATCTGTATTGAATTTACAGTAAAACACTGACAAGTACAGAAGTTCCTACCAAATGGTACCTTTTTTAAATTTTTTATATCTGGGAAATTATGGCACATATTGAAACCGTTTGTTACATTTCATTGAGCCGGGACTGAAGTGACCTGACCGTGATCTTCATGTACAGAAAATGTGGATGATGTACATTGAATGTACGATAAGATTTGACCTACAATCGCTAAAGAAATATATATGTTCAATTACATTAGCATCTGTCCAGCGTTTAAGGCATCAGTGAGGATTATTTTGAAAGTTGCTATAACATGGCAAACAGTTCTTTCTTCAAAGAAAGAGGCGAGGCATAACTGTACTGCTGGTTCGAATGAGAAATTAGGGAATTCATTGACCTTGTCGGGATCTTAAATCTTTTTTTTAAAATACTGTATAGCCTGCTATTTGTTCACGAGTGTGGCCTACACGACGCGTCATCAGTTTACAACGCACGATCTTGAAAGTGTGACTGCGCAAAATTATCGACCTCCTAAATAGCTTTCGAAAAATTTATAGTTTTATAGTATTCAGTAAACAATTTCACAATGACTAATCCAGTTACAGTTCACATTTATCTATTTCCCTTAATGAAGTGTTTAATTGACGTGAAATCAAGACTGCGACAACTTTAGGTAAATATATTAATAATGACGTCAGCGGTATACCATGAAACTATATTTACCACAGCTGAATTTCCTGCACACAAACCAGACATTATAGGCATATGCCAAAATTTAAACTTGAGTGGTGTTTATCTGCATTTATACAACATAGACCTACTTCAAAAAGAGTCGGAGTTTTGTCAAAACAATCCTGAAACTGCAATGAACTGTGAATAACTATATTAGCGAAGATGTAAACATTACATCAGCCAGTAGGCCTAGCCTACAGTTTATACCTCCATGGTAATACCATTCAACAGTGTATGTTTAACACAATTTGAATCTCTCCTGCCGCAAAACATATAATGATGTATAAATAATGACTGTCCTACGCGTCTGTAATATTTTTTAACAATAAACTGTCATCAAAACGACCCTCAAACTATTATGGAGGTATTAAACCAGTACGAAAACTACTGATATACAGTACATCCATAATTTATAATAAACACAGTAAAGATCTATATCGCGTACCGTTTTTTTAACATTACATAAGAATGTAGAATAGGCAAAGGCATAAGACCGATATAGTCAATAATATTAAATATACAGTAAATGTAATGGTATTCGGTAAAATTGTTGTCTTGGGTGAAGCATGGAGGAAAGAAAGCAGATTCTTTCCTCTATGGGTGAAGCTGGATGAACAACTTATTCCTCCGTGGTTGAATTTAGTTGGTGCTGAGATAGGAAGTTATAGTGTGACATTACAACAGTCGTGGGAGCATCGTTACAATACAATGAATACTGCAGGAAATAACTCATTGAATTTGTCAGTCCAAGTCTTTCCTTCTTTTGTCGTCTTCTACCAGTAGCCATATTATTTAAATATTAGGCCTATTCAAAATTAACATTTTTCAATACAATTTTTATGTTGGGCTATGCGTATGGTGATTCCATCAAGATTTACATATTACAAGAGCAAATTACAAATCACAATCAGCGAATGATAATAACAGGCAATATGAATGGTTTTCTTGCTTTTACAGTTTATTTAAGATCGTTTTCCGTAAAATTATTGTGTACTCTGTAAGAAGTTACTATAAGTTTGTGAGTCGCCTCCGATTCAAAGGTGATGTGCCATCAAATAAATAACTTTAAATTTGTGTAAAAATCATGTAATATTTCAAAGTTTTTCTAACGTTAAAACATGTAAGAAATTTGGCAACCTTAGAAAATATTGTTTTTATTAGTTATATTAACTATTAGTTATCGTTTGTCGATTAACTAATTTTCGATAATTAATTACTGAGTGCCTTTGATGACAATCCACGTAGAGGCGTTTGCGACATTCTGTTCGAACTGTTTATTTCTGATTGAGATATGTTGTCATACGGTTCGAAATTTTACGATACAATGGGAAATTTTAAAATTCACAACAATATGGCTTTAGGACACCAAGTCTAGCATACGAATTTTATATGATAATTACCAAAGCTAGCCAGCTAAAACAACGTCTATGTATATACTGCTACTGAAAAAATATGTCTATTACTGTATAAAGTTTTTGAAGCTTCAATGACAATGAAGGTAACCTTGTTTCACAGGACAGTGCTTCTATTCCAGGAACACTGCAGGCTGAGGCAACGTCTACATCACCTTCTAAACCTCGTTGCATCGTAGGCCTAAACTAAAACAGTAGACTGAAGGCATCTTGTTTTAATATACATTAAAATTAGACGAAGTTTCGACTTACCCAAAATAAGAAGTTAAAAGCAAACATCATGTATTTGACACATGTCATACAGTCCGATAAAGCCATTTTGAAGTTTGAGAGACAATATTCCAGTAGAAAATTAACAAGAATTTTACCAGACTTTCAACTAAACTAATTTTGTGTCTCAGTTTGAAACACTTCCCGTATATCGTATCCCATGGACTCCTACACTTTCCTGACAGGGGTTTAAATTTTACAATAACAACTCATTTCCCGAACAACAATTTATAACCATGATTATACATAAACAGTAGTCACTCACAAAAAGACAAGCCAGATATTATTTAAATACACAATACTGAAGCTAATGATTGACGTCGGAGTTTACACACATGCAACCTTAGAGAAGTTGCATCTAAAAAACTGTACCGTATTCTTACACAAGGCATTCTTATAACAATAAGAATGAAACACAGTGTAGGGCCTATATATTATAACGTCTTACGGTTTTATTCCTGCACTGTTACTATTGTTATTTATTTATTTGTTTACGTTGTATTTGTGGTGATACGCAGTAAACCTAATTTATATAGGCCTATTCTAAAAAAACTGTACCGTATTCTTACACAAAGCATTCTTATGGTATAATTTTATCCTGTGTATAATAATTGAAAAAATATGAAAAAAACGGCAAAACAATCTACTACGTGGTATCTAAATCAAAGTTTCCAACAGCCAAACGAATATAATTACATAAGTACACAAACATTATTCAATGATTTAGCGCCGAATCCATCAAAGTAATATTACTGCTCAGTCTCTGTCCTAAGCTTTAGATTTAGAAAGTTGTCTGCTCAAACAGCTTCCAGGATAACATAATATTGAAAGTTCGATGTGTGTAATAAAAGAACGGCAATTTGACTGGAGTCTGGAAATGCCTTGTACATTTCATGACACATTTAAGAGCACAAAGTAAACTTTTAGTATTACAGTATCATTATTAACAGTAGTTAAAAAGAAGCCAGAGAATCGCTGTTTTGGCATCGCATTGCGAAAAGTTTCAATTTATATATAATAGGCCTACAGGTCTAACCTTGAGTATAATTTATTTCGTGTCACGTGACAATAATATACGGTCACACTAGAGTTTCAAGCCTGGCTTGACTCACCGCGGGTGAGATTTTCGTAATGTGACCGAATCTGCACCGACTCGCGCCTGGCGTGACCACGATCTCAATCTACCTATCTCGATCCCGGCTCAGCACCCATATTGACCCTGGCGTGACCGAGATTGACATTTTCTCGTCGGCTGTCGACCAATCACAGTCGATGACGCCGTTGCGTTTAGAAGTTCTTGAATAAAAACCCCGCGAGTTCTTCATGTGCGTTCAATCAAGACGCAATCATTACTTTTCATAAAAGTTAATTCAAATTTTAATTAATTATAATGCGATTGATTTGGAGCGACCAGGAAACTGCTGACCTGGTAGATTTGTGGGGCCAACCCGAGCTGAGAGACCGGATAGAAAATAAAAAAACAAACAACAAAACGGGAATTTTTGGCGTGCTTGCTGACAGATTAGCCAGTCTCGGACATGAGAAGAGAACGACGGCCCAAATTCAAACAAAAGTGAAGGCATTGCGAGCCCAATACAAGCTGATAAAAGATCAGTTGAAGAAGAGTGGTTCGGGCACGTCTGGTGTAAAATCTTTGATTGCGATCCACCCAATCACACGCTCGTATATCGAATCCCGTGAAACAGAGTTGGCCAAACTCTCTCTTTACGGACTTTCATAATTTGGAGGTCAATCCAACTAGTGTGACCGACCCAGAATTTCGAGTCTGGCTTGAAATCTCACCCGCGTTGAGTCAAGCCAGGCTTGAGACGCTAGTGTGACCGTAGGTATCTATGGTCAATCCGAAGACGCTAATAACGGTTGTATCAAAGTTGACTTTAAAAAAAAACTTGAGGAAATAGTATTTGAAACATCCATTACTGAAAAGTAACTTTGTGGATGTGAGGTGGAGTGTAAGACACGCCTAGTAATTTGCATAATCTATGTTGATCCATCAAAACAGAGTCATGCGTGGTGCTACCTGTTTTACGCATCAAAGTAGCAATCAAATATTTTTGTGACGGAATTTTGAAAGCCACAAAGCCTTGAACTATAGACCTAATCGTCCATCAGATGCAGGTGTGTTCCATGAAGATGACCCCCGTGGGATTAGTCAAGAGCAGATGCAGCAATTTTTTGTTTGCGATGGTTTATGATTCTTTAATCTCGAAGATGGTACGGCGAATTGTGAGGATGCTTAAAATATCTCTAAAACGTTGCCAAACGTACGAAACCGTATGATACAGTACTGTATACATATTGTAATCAAAATGGTTCTATTGCGAATTTTAGCTAATGTAGGCCTACTCTAGTTATTTGTGGGGCGTGATTCTTTTTAACCTGCCTCAGCATTATTATTCACGATGACGCAAATAATTAACTAGCACCATTTCTGTTACGGTATAGCAGATGCATAGCAGAAAAATGCCTATATATAGCAAAAGGTACATTAATATAATAATCAGTGTTAAGCGCCTTAACATTTATTCCCTTAACAAGGAATAGAGTGCCAAACCCCAAGGACCAATACAGTACTGTATTGTGCCTTTCTCTTTTGCTCAATGATATGACCGTACAGTACGAGAATATACTTAGCGGAGGAAACAAAGCTACTTGCAAGCTTTCATTAAATGATTGCATACCAAATTAGTGGCAGATGGTTGAAATCAATTCTAAGGAAATATACGAATTAATCTAATTTTGTTGTTAATGACTCGGCCTGAGTCGAGAGTCGAGCATTAGGCTTATGCTCGCCACACGAAGATGAAATGAAGATACGTGTATACCACATAAAAAGCATCGTCCTAATATAGGTCCTTTTTAACCGGAGGGCATGAAGTAGGCCAGAGAAATATTAAAATATAGCACTTCTCGTCTATTGCGCCCTCTACCCTTAAACACTCATTACTCTTCATCATCTTATTATTTAATATTCAGACAAAAGACACAAAAAGATCATCTACACTAATTAGAAATTAAATTGCAAACAATTCTAAAAAGACGAGTGCAAGGAGCACTCTTCTTTCTCACTTCCCAACGCTAAAACTAGCACCACAACTACGCCCTTTGAACTCGCAGTGCCGCCGGACGCAACCGATCTTTTGCTTCAAAGCCATGAAGCGCCAATATCTGTTTGTGCTCAGTCATTCACGTATGAGATGATTTTGATTTTTTCATTAATTTATTAAATGTTCTACCACGACGGCCTTGCTCACCATGCATGCTGATGTATCCAGGTACGCTGCTATTTTGCAGAGCAGTGTATCGTTGAAAGGTATGAAACGCTAAAATGACAACTTTCAAACACAGTCGATTTTCAATCACAAATCGACTGTGCTTGAAAATCGACTGTGTTAAAATTTGCCCATTTGGCGCTCCATGAAAAAGGTTTCATCGTTCATCCCAGACCCTATAAAGGAATAGGTCAAATTATAGATTAATGAAATAGACCATAATGCATTTGAATCCATAAAAGAGCGAGATACATTAAACAGTATACTAGTGTTATAACATTCATAACAACAATCGGTAAAGACACCCGACAGATACAAAGAGTACCTTTGAGCTGTTCAAAATTAAAACGGAAGCAAATGAATAGTAGTGCATTTACTACAATTTATGCCTTTGGTGATTTATTGCCGGTTTATTGCAAAAGAAAAGTGTTTTCGAAAGAAACACCAGTTGTTTTCATGGTTCTGTTGCGCTGCATGGCCACTCATGGCATGCTCCGCTGATGAGATATGTTGTCTGCTAATGATGTTAAAAAATCGTTTTCACAATCGACTATGCCTAAAGAAATCAATTAATATAGCGCGCAAGATTCACTAATGAAAGCACACTATACAGACACAGAAAATGACAATTACAAAATTTATTTGCAATATATCAGCTTACAAAAACCATGCCTATTTATTAGAAAACATTGGAAATATTAGCCCTATATTTCACAGCACTGATGTTAACGCAGGCTTAATAATGTACATCAAGCAAACGGTACCGGTATTGCATGACACGGGGCGTAGACTGGTTTCATCATGGGAGGGTGGGGTGCGAAAATTGAGAAAGCGGATCTAAATTTCTTTTCCAATGGAAAATGAATGGTAATTTTTAGTATTTTAAACTCACTAGTGGAACTAATTTGCTGCCATAGGAGGAGGAAATGCGTCCGTATACCACCGCACCCCCTCCCCATCATACGCCCATGTCATATTTTGCAGTTATTTCACCACCCGTTAGCAATTTGTCCAAGCAATAACATGTCTTGCACAGTATGATGAATAGCAATTATATATAGATTGACCGATCTGTATCAAACTGTTTTGACATACATAATTCATGTCGATAACCTATACATGCGTGTGTGATGTTACGCAGAGATATTTCTCCTTAATCATTCACGGATGAATATGCTATAGGCCTAACAGTGCAGTACATACATATGAGGCGCCAAGTGTAAATTTATTATTTAACACAATTATTTATATATACTGTAATTCATTTTCTTTCTTACTTTGATGAATATGAATACCGTGTAATCCGAATGCTTACACACGGAGCCTTAAATCCTTTCATGCATTTATTTTAATGTTTTTTTCACATTTTCTTTTTCGTTTTTAATAATAAATATGTAATTTGCAAAAAGTAGTCATAAATAAAGACTTATTATACAAATAATCTTTAAAAAAAATAATAATACAGATTGGCCGTAGAATTCGCAAAAGAATTAATTCCAAGTATTGGATGGACATAGTTTGCTAAGCTATCATCTGACCTTTAACCCATGAGTTCAATCACAGTACAGATATTACAATCTGCTTCGATAGTCTAAAATATACATTTGATAAATTATTCCTCAATAAAAAAAATTTAAAAAAAAGCAAGACCCTTCATTTATTTTTGATTTGGAAGTTCACTTCAGAATATTTCTTGCAATGTGTTACGGTATGTTGTTACGCTGCCGTTAACAGCACCGTCAAGATTAAACATTCGATATACGCGTACAGTATTCATAACACTGTAATTAATTAACATAACGTTAGAAAATGATATATGACCTAGACCTAGTTGATCGTTTATCCAATATGA